GTATGTTATATTATGATATACTATATTATATTATATTATATTATATTATACTATATTATACTATATTATACTGTACTATATTATATCATATTATATTATATTATATTATATTATATTATATTTTTTTATTTTATACTTATATATACATATATTCTATGTTTGTGTGTGTATATATATATATACATGTATGCATCACAAGAAGCAAACCTTGGTCTTTCGTCGCCTTGGCCATCAGCTTTAGGGTCTCAGGCCAGAACGTCCCATGGAAACAGGCGCTGTGTGCTGAACAGGAGTCCTCTTGGGCCCGTTGAAATCTCGTGCATCGAAGAACAAACTCCTCAGGCCTCAATAAGCTTTGCGGCTTGGGTTCGAGACAGAACATGCGTTGGAAGGATACGCAGCGGCCAGAGGTCCCAGATCTCACAGCATTACTACTGCACACTGGCGGTGCAATCAAGCAGATCAATCCAGCTCATGCATTCTTCAATATTTGCACTTTGCAGGATTTTGGACTCACAGGTTTACTGACACTTGAAAGGGTTGTCCGTGGTTCAAGACCTCGAAAACACATGGACGGTTGCAAGCGGAGCCAGTGGCGTTGACGTTCAGCCTTTTGATGGGCAACATCCCCATGCTATGCACGCGCATTCCCACCGGCAAGAAAGGGAAGGACTACACGTGCATGGCAGGGGCAAAAAAAGACGGCTTTCGGACTCTGGAATAATGACAGCATTCGGCCAAAGACAGAAGTGCGATGCTGCAAACAAACCCCTGTGGTGCGGTACCAGCTGCATGCTTCCGGATAGCCGACGACCATCGGACGTGCTTCACGCACTGCCAAAAAAAAGGAGCGCTGCGAAGAAACATCTTCGTCGTAAGCACTCGAACTAAAGCGGGGACCCAGGAAATGACCCCAGACAGGAACACAGCACAGACACACAGCAGCGAACCCTCAAGCTGTCAAGCCTGAGACCCCTAAATCGAAGTCAACCCTATATCGAGGTCAAGACTCCAAGCAGGACTGCACTCTCAAGTTTCTTAGCTGCGCTGTGCATCCCGCCACGACGACACCCACACATGTGCAAGCCTGCTGGAGGCCCTCAGTGGCAAAACCCCTAGATAGGCCGTAAAGACTCTTCAACAAAGGGTTTCCGGACGATGGTGCACGTGTCGTGTTCTGTTGCTGTCCAAGCCAAGGTATGGCTCAATGATGCCAACGTTTGCGATTGATGGGTTCAGCTTTCATGCCGGCTATGATACGATGACTGGCACAACAACCAAGCCGATGCTTACCCGAAGCCGGATCCGTGATTGTGTGACTGTCGATTGCTTTCAGTGTCTTTCGTGCTGCGCCCAGAATGTCTAATACAAAAACCAGCCTGAAATGCACTGCTCCCTCCCCTGCTTCAATCAAGACACCCCGAAACCCTGCAACTCCTGGGTCCATTCAAGCTACATAGAAGGAGATTAAATCGGTACATACTCGTCCTCACTCGTCTGCCTCCGTTTCGTAACGATGTCAGCGAAGACGCCTGGACATAGCTCCACATCCTTCTTGAACTTGTTCAAAGTCTTGAGGTGTCTTTCATGCAGAATCCGATTCGGTGGTTGGGGCACACTTCTGGGAAGGTCGGAATTCCAAGTTGCAGAGTCCCAGGACGATTCGATCAGGAACTGCGGCACCTGCGGAGGCAGCTGGTGGCCCTGCTGTGTCGACTTCGGCGGTTTCGGGGCCTGGTGTGGGTGGACCGCAATTCCTGCTGCACAACCCATGGCTCAATCGACACGCGTGCTTTCCTGAGGAATGCTTCGGTCGGCGCTTTTTGCTGCTGCTTCGAGCCACAAACTCATGCAAAGCGGATCAGTCTGAGCATGCAGTCCCAGATTCCCAGACCTGTACCCTGCACAAGTGAAGCAGGTCGGGGAAGAATGCCGACAAACACTGCGTAGGGCAACAAGGGATCGCCTTTTCGCACGGCCATGCACATGCAGAGACTGTCTCGTTTGGATGGGTGAAACTTCTGGGAACTGCTCTACTCGAGTACGGTTGCGCTAGCGATCTTCCGCCTCCACCTCAGGAGCCTTCGGAGTGCATCCAGTGTTTTGCTCAAGGTTCTCGTGATTTCGCAAGCATAACTAGCGTTTTGTCGGGTGGTAGCTCGGATGTATATAGTATACTTACTTAGAGGGTGGAACGCCCTGCCTTTCTGTATACCTACTGGATCATGGGACCTGGGATCTAGGGAATCTAGGGCTATAAACGAGTTATACTTATTTTGTAGCCTAAAATCATACAGATCTTACGATGTCAGACGGCCAACAGTGCTCAGCTGGCACGCGGACCAATGGTGTAGCCTGCCGGGGGACCATGGTTGGGTTGGTGTTCACTCGATGAGTAGGGTTCGGATGGGTTAGGGTTTAGGGTTTAGGATGTTGCAGGGCTTGGGGGAACGGTTGGCTTCACGACAGAGCCAAAGGTGGAGGGCCGCCCAATGTTGTCAGTTATCATGGGGTACCAACAAACGGCTTGCATTGCTAAGGTGGAGGCGCAGGGATTAGAAGCAAAAAAGCTTTACCGGGTTGCTGACAAAGGCAAACTGAGTCAACATCCCAAAACCACCCAAAGCCCAAGCCATCTCCTCGCACCCTTTCCAAACCCTACACCTCCCCGGCTCCCTGCCCGCCGCCTCCATCGCCTGTGGCCCGGTAGCATTTTCCACTCAGATCGGCCTTGATGGCCTCGGTCACGCGGCCCAAGCAGCTGGCCCCCCCCCCCCGCACGGTGTAGTCGACTACGAGAGGTACTGCTTCATAGGGTCCCAACCAAAACCCCGAGACTACTCTTTTCGAAGATCTCCAAGCCCTTGTCCTAGTTGTTCCAGCACCCAGAACATGCTACAGCCCGGGAAAGCTTCGCAGAGCCCAAACCCACAAAGAGAGTCGAATGAGCCTAAGCCCCAAATCCATCTGATATTGTCAGAAAAGCACGGAAATAGCGGGATCCTTGGAAACAGGGACCCTTACATCATGTGTGTAGTTCTCCAACTAAAGTTCTCTTAGGGTCCTCTTCATACTATTTATTTTGGGGACCTACACAAGGCAGAACTGAAATATCCCTAAACCCTAAACCTAAGCCCCACAATGAAAGGCACCTCCTCGAGTTCCTGCAGCTCTTTCTTTTTGTCCTGCGTCGAGTTTACCAGGGACCCTAAGTCATCCTCAATCCTGAAGCTTAAACCCTCCTTAGGCCCCCCAACAACCACACCCTCAAACCCTCCAAAACCCTCAACCCTAAGCCCTACAGCCCAAAGCTTCACCCCTAAACTAGGCCTCAATCTCCTTTGTGAGGGCAGCAGCACGCTTCACGAAGTCATCTACCTCCACCTCGCTTGCCACCAACGGCACGAAGGAAACACTCTCCCGCTCCTCCTATGACCGTCAGTCCGCTGCATAAGTGTTCCTTCAGCGTTCTTACTGCGGTCGTAGGCCATTCTAACTCTGTGTGCGACTGCATTAATCCAGGCACTACTAGGAGGCCAGATCCAGTTTCAGTAGTAAGCGTTTTGTTCAGGGTGCATCCCTCTATATGCCAACGGCTCAACGGCTTCCCAGACTCTAAATCGCAGACACAAGAGTCTAAACCCGAAGCCCTAAACTCTAGGTAGATCTTCTGCGAGATGTTGGGCCAAGCAGTAACGGAACAAACCACAATTTGCAGAAACACCCTCGGCCCTACGCATTGGAGTCATACATTCCTCAATCCTAAAGCCCTAAACCCAAAACGATGGCTTTGGGCTCTTCGGGTTTCAGGGCTTTCGGGTTTCAGGGCCTTTGGGTACCGGGCTCTGTGGGGCGATTTCCTTTTTACTGTTGGTGCCGGGGGGGATGTGTTTTTGCCGTCGCTGCCGGGGGGTGTGTTGTTTTGCTGTTGGTGCGGAGGAGGAGGGGGGGTGGTTGTTTTTTTGCTGCCGCTGTTGGTGCAGGGGGTTGTTTTTGCAACGTGCAGCAACGGCAAAACAGAAAGAAAAACACACACACACACACGTTCGTCCTCTGGAGGTTTCATGTAGCAGCCCAGTCAACTGTTGCATAACCAGCTCTTGTACAACCACCTCATCGCTCAGTTGTCGAACTCCGGACCCAAAAAACCTAAACATCTAAGAGCCCCAAAACCGGCATACAAGATGGGAATCTCAGAACATTCGGGACCCAAACAAGTTTCAAACAAGCGCTCAACAATCCCTAGTGTAAACAACCTCAATTCGTGACCAAACCTATTGAGATACCCCCCCTACCTTATGTCCACATGCCACGTTGAGCAACCAGTGCTGCATTCATGCCAACCTCTGGACGTTCGCGTCACGCTGCAGACATGCCGGAGCTAAACCACAAGGCGACTCGACTGAAACCTCTTGATCCCCGGAAACCCCGATATCTTCCCTCCGAGCCCCGAAGCTAATAAAGCCCTTGTGGCCCTGCGCCGTGGACGATGAGGGTTCAGGGTTAGGGGCATCCGGACATGAACAAACGGTCACAGGTGTACCAAGGGCTGGACATACTCCGCATTCGTGCCTCGTACGCTTGACTCCGTTCAGGGATTAGGGTTTCGGATTTTGGGTTTGGGACTCAGGAAATTTAGGGTCTCGGGTCTGAGATTTCATTTTTTGGGGCTTAGGGTTTGAAATTTAGCGTTTTGGGTTCAGGGTCTAGGGTCTAGGGCCCCAGCTTTAAGGTACCAGCACCGCCCTCTCAACCTCAGATCCCAAGACTCCTTTACATGTCCCCCTAATCCGTAACCCCTTCCGGACCACTACCAGCACGCACATGAGAGGGTGTAGAAATGGTATGATATGCTCCCCAACCAGATTCAAACCGCGAAGGCCCCTCTGTGAAAGCTTGCAAGTTACAAGTCAGGATGTCGGGCTCAGGACCAAGATGAAGGATTTGCAGGTTTAGACTTTAGGCTTGAGCACTTTGGCTTTGGGTCTGATTCTTGCTTCGCAGTTCGGGCTGCGAAACGCATGGGCCCCGGGCACAAAGCGATCGCCCTGCTGGTGACGCGGTAAGCCGCACGCTTGGCGTCCTGCGGCTTTGATCTGAGGGTCGTGCTGCTTTAGTGCGGCAGGATGTTGGGCATCCCGAAACTCTCGACTCTCAAAACCGCGGAACCCCAACCCTGAAGCTACAATCTGGCAACTAGACATAAGACCTCAGGAAGCGCAAACCCTCAACCCCTGACACATCCCCGAAAAACCGGACGAAACTCTTTAAGACCCCTTTGAGAGCATTTCACGATAGACTCGAAACTCGAAACGGCTGAAAGCCGCCTCAGCGCTGAAGCCTCAATTTTACCGCACAAACGCAAACCCCCATGTTAACAAAAAATAGGGTGGTAAACCAAAGACAACCTAAAGAAACTCGAATAGGAAACTCGGTGCCTGTTGAGAGGCCTACGGTCTCCTGTCCTCCGGGAGTCGATTCCCGGGCCGGTTCGTCCTCGGCCATCGGCGTGGAGTCTTCGTTTCTATGAACTCTATTATGATTAGTAGCTCAGTGTTTTAATTATGATTATGCTTGATAGATATGAGTGTCATGAATACCGTTTGAATTAGTGGGTTGATATTGTGCCGAGTACTTTGACGATTGGCATGACTAGCAGGTTGCAGCAGAATGAATGCTGTTGTGATAAGCTACGCTTAATATGATGATGTTGATCGCGATTGGGGTTTTGATTATGTTCATCAGACATTTCAGTAGTGTCATGAGTACTGCTTCGAATAATCTTATGATTCATGATGTGGTTACGATTACGATTATGGTGAACAAGCTCTGAGTTTGGGAGCACCGGCCCCACAACAACAGCCAATAAAATTGCATAAGCTCAGACACTCGTACCAAAGTCCTTTAAGACACATATGTGCTGAAACCCCATGAACAACCATAACCCTAAACCCCCAGACCCAAAACTGTGAAGGGCCCACAGTCGGGTAAAGTGCTCACACTACCGACAACGCCCCGAAACATGCAGACCGTGTCTCCAATCCTCGTCAGGCTGCGGGGTCATCCTCTGAAGCCCCTTCATCCATGCATCCATCCATCCATCCATCCATTACATCCATCCATGCATCCTACAACGAAACCTCATTCATCAAATTAGACCTATGCAGAATCTGATATGCTTGCGAATTGACTTCATACTCTAATTCCAATGAAACCTGAAGCCAATAAACCCTGACACCAGAACCCGACAGGCGTAGGCGGGCTGCACGCTCTGCAATCCCCAGGCGATCTCCTGAAGCTTCCTCAGCTGAGATCTACAACAGTGATCTCTGCAGGATCTGAAGAGAGTGCTTGAGGGTTTGGGGATGCTTTGTTGTGATTGGATTGGTACAAGGGCTGACAGGGTGCTTGTACGATCTAGGGTTTAGGTTCCAAGGTTTACGGAAAAGACACAGCTCATACGGTTTAGGGTTTACAAGGTGTTGGGGCAGCAAGGAAGTTTTCGAAGTGGTCGCTAGTTATTAACCCTACCTCTATCGAACGTTCGCAAAACTAGCAACCAGAGCCAGGCACAATGTAACCTACTTAAGTACGTGTCACCATCCTTACTAAGTCACTTGATCCTTTCAAAATGGATACTTGTTAGGTGCTTGATTGAATCTGCAAGACCTTTGTAAAACCCATGTAGGAATCCTCATCGGAAATCGAGAGGAACTCCCAAACCCAAACCATGGGAGGCAGGCTTGACGCGAGGATCATTCTCCCCGATTGTCTCCAGGGCCAACTCGGCAGGCTGTTTATGGGGCACTATGAACGATACTTTACAGGTGCAATAAGGGTTTATGGTTCGGGGCTTGGCTCCCCGTTCCGGGTTTCGGGTTTGGGGTGATAGGGTGTGATAAATGCGCTCCAATCCTGAAAACAGGGTTGCCATAGGGGCCTTCATAATCAGAGTAGAATTTATCAGGTCTCACATGGAGTATAAAGGGACCTGAAGAATGACTATGGTTTTGTGAATTGCTATAGAGCTGTACGAGGCTTGATGCTGGCCGGGTTCTTAACAACGAAACCAAGGTTTCGATTTTATTTCCTGCACGACGTGTGTAAGGACTACAAAAGTATACTGTTGGGAATTGTTCAGCTCACGGGCGTTAGGTTCATTATGCCTGTTCTACATGGCATTGGACAGCAGCTACAATGTTTTGTGTACAGACCCACCAACTACATCATATTACAGAAACGAATCAGCATATTGACAGCGTCCCTGCGCGATTCGTCACATCACCCTATTTATTGTTCTGTTGCCCACACATTCGACCCTGCGTCGCCTCGTCCTCATCTCCGGCAGGAGGCATGGCGTCGACTCCGGCCAGAATGCAAGATGTAAGTCTGGGGTATATACTAAGTTACTATCGTTGCATGTAACAAATGTTTCAAGTCCGCCGGACTTCGCTACAAATTTCAATCGAAACGTTTATCAGACTTCCGTGGCATTGCTTTCGTGTCTAGCGCACCTGTGATTTATGCTGTTGGGCTGGGAATTGGGGCGTTTAGGGCCTAAAGTTTACAGTATTTAGGTTCAGGGGTTTGTAGGGTTTGTAGGGTTTGTGGGTTTGTGGGTTTAGGGTTGAAGGCGGAAATAGTTTCAAGAGCATGATCTGGGTTTCCATGATCCACAAATGATCGCGCTCCTTCAAGTTGCCTTCAAACTCCCAAGTAGAAAGTTAAACTTGTCCCGCCGTTTGAGCTGAAAAGGCTACAGCTCACGGGAGGCAGGTTTGAGGTCAAGAGGATAATGAGTAGCTGTTGAGACGAAGGCTTCACACAACAATATGCACAATCGCACAACCCTCGGACCAGCATGGCGATCTTGTAGATCGGAATGTGTGTCGAGCCAATTCGCATTCGATGCATGGCCGCCTGCACGACTGGATGCAACACCCCGTTTTTAGTCCAGGAGTTCTGACCTTTGCTTGTCTTCAGTTCAGTCCTCTTCACGGCTGCGAGCTGCGCGCGCTCCTGAAGGAAGGCTTGGCAACCCGCATGTAGCTCTTTAAAGAGACCCATAGGAAGGTCGTCCAACTTTAACGGCACTTGCCGTTCCGGGCAGAAATCGCCTGTGCGACGATTTGTCAAATCATCTGCATCCTTATTTTCTTCCCGCAGACGCCAACATAACCGACACAACTTGCTCGGCTGACGCAAAGCCGTAGCAAGCTGCATGTGGATTCCCTGAACAGCCCACTTGTTGCGGATGCCCAGCACAAACTTGCAAACGCAGAGAATCACGTCTCCCGGCAAGCGACGCATGGACGAATGCCACTAATCCCGCGTATGACCCAAGGAGCTCCGCAGCTGTCGATGCCCACTCTGTCGAAAGGTCCTCTTTGAAGAGAGCCGGCAAGTCGGGTTGCCGAATCTCCAGGACAAACCATGGTGCAGCCGAGTTTCAGTGCCATGGTCGAGTGACCATCCTCCAAGGACAATTCGGCCGCGTTCGCACTTTGTATCTGTCCTGAAAGCTTGCCTGTCGTGGCATGACCAGCACTTTTGCATTCTCCAACTGGACAACCAAACCCAGAGGCGCCACTGTGCTGCGATTGAGGGCAGCTTGCCATGCAAACGGGGGTGCCATGAACGGCTTCATCCACGGAAGCAGCCAAATAATGAAATTGATGCGTGCGACGTTAGTTTCCGAGGGGCCTCTAGGGAGCCTCAGGGCCTCACTAAACAGCAACAGCCAAAGCAGGCACGCTCCACACTTTTCCTCGCTGCTGTTCTTCAGCAGTCCGAGTCTTGAGCCACGCAAGCCGG